AAATATGTCTAAAATTTGTTATCCTAGTATCACCAAAAAACGTTTTACTAAAATCGGTGATCCCAATTTCGTATGTTACCTAAAATACACTCAAAGATAAAAACAGCCGGATACTTTTATTTATTGGTTTACTTTCCATAACTAGGTTAAATATTTGACCTAAAGTATAAGCACAACATTGTTGTTTTTTTACCTTTTACACTCTTTATATTAAAAATAAATAAAACCAGTTCAGTTTTATTCTTCTCAGATCCATCTTGTTGTTATTTCGTTTATTAAACGGTTTTCTTTGATGAAAAAAAAATTAGTTTTTGTACTTAAAAGGGTGTTTTAAGTTAAGAAGATTTCGTCCGAGCATGCTTTGGCCATCGACGGACGTTAAACCAAGTCCACGATTGTCTACTGCGGTTTAAGGACACGGGAAGTCTCGATAGAAGAGAAGGTAGTGGTCGACAGTAAGTACGAAGTACGACGGCTCGTTTTATTGCTCTTACAGCAATACGGAATCAATTCATGTATCGTGCGTAAGTCCAGCCATTTTAAAGACAGTCAGTTATGGTATGGAGTGGAATCAACGTCTATGGCCGTATCGAACTGATTATCATACAGAACAGATCTTTGATTGCACTAAGGCGCATTGAGGATGTTCTTGTAGAAACTTCATTCCCTCGATTTATTTGGGTCAACTTCGTGTTAATCACGATAATGCTCGACCGTACGTAGCCCAAGTTGTCACCCATTACTTGGAGTATTTAGAGGTTACCACAATGACTTGGCCACCAGGTTCTCTTGACACGAATCCCACCAGAACACTTATGGGACATGATAAAGAGACGGGTTAGACACTGTTCATCGCCTCCAACAAGCTTTCAACGGCTTCAAAGCGCTCTTGTTGAGGAATGGGATGCTCTTTCACAAGCCGAAATCCCGTTCTTATTTATTAGGAGATAACCCTCCACGAGGCCAGAGGATATTAATCCCAGATACTACGAGCAAAACTAGGTAATAAATTTTCATTTTAATTTTGATTTTGATTCAATCCAATTTAACTAAATGGTGGTTTGGTGAATTTGGTTTCAAAACTTCTTAATTAAATATTTTTTATTAAAACTGATGAATTTCTGATCACTTGAATTTGTTTTACAATAAAATAGGTGTGTTGGAATTAATATAACGATAAAAATACGTAAGGTTAACTTAAACAATACTAGTGTTCTTTTTTTTCTTTGTAAACAACAAATGTATTTTTTTGGAATTTCAAGATTTCTTTTTAGTGCTTTTCCCTGCGTACAATGTTGACTGGCTGTACAACCGAAATGTGCTTCTAAAAGAGTTACCGTTGTGTATTAATCGAGAGAAGGACAAAAACCAGAACCCTAAAAATGAGCCAGGACTGCGTTATTTACCTGGAATGAGTTGATTTAAATGAGGTTGACTAAGTGCACCTTCGGATTTTAAATGCATGTTCTGGCCGGAAAGAATGAGAGGTATTATAAAAGTTTTATCCAATTAAAAACGAAAATCATTTACATAGGCTAATGGCGATACGGGGATGACCGGGAGTGTAGATCGGGGGGTCGACGACGGCGACGTCTTTAATAAATATATGGGGCCCGAGCAATAAATCCCCGTTGTGTGGGAGAGACAAAAAATTGAATTAACACAAAAGTAAGCGGAGCGGGACCAATAAAACAATAGCGCCACACCTACTCCCGGGACAATTAAAATCAGGCCATAAATTTTTAAGCCCCTTCGCCCCGTTCCTTCCACTGTGGAAGTTATCTGAGAACGCCCCCCTGCGACGTCGGGGAGGGGCAGCCATAAATTTCTGGTAATGGCCGGTCGAACTCGCCCCGCTATCATATTTATTTGTGGATCATACATAATAGATTTTTTGGGGCGTGGTGGCTGTGTTCGGGGAAGATTTCAACCCCAGCGGAAGAGGCAAGAGTATTCCTCCAGACCTTTTCCGGCAAACGCCACGGTTCAACATCTTATGTTCCTAGGGAAGCTTTTCCAAAACTAATTATTCAGAAATCGTGAGATGCGATCTGGTGTGATGTAGGTTTCAGAAAAATATTTTCTTTATCGTGCCAACGTTTCGATCTTTATTGAGATCATCTTCAGGGCCTGGGACTTACAAACATTGTTTACATATAACAATTACATTTTGGATGCGGAAAAGTGAATTTATACAATGCAAAATATATGTTTTTATATTCAATCAAAGTATTTCTACTCACTCAAAGTGTTTGTCTTCTGTGTAATTGTGCCATTCTTGCGTGTCGTGTTGAGCAACACGCAAGAATGGCACAATTACACAGAAGACAAACACTTTGAGTGAGTAGAAATACTTTGATTGAATATAAAAAAATATTAAATTCACTAATTTTGTGGTCCGCTTGACCAATTAATATATTACGATTAATTAAGGTTTTGAGATAAAAATTGGCAAAAAGGAGGGAAAACTCAAAAGGTGGGGTTGAGATAGGAAGTTGGTGTCCGAGTGGATCGAGGTCACGATAGCTCACGTGGTAGAGCAGCGGCGTATCAAGCCGAAGATCGTGGGTTCGAATCCCGCTCTTGCCATTGACTTTTTTATCTCAGCTCAAACCCTTAATTAATCGTAATAAAAAAATATATTTTGCATAGTATAAATTCCCTTTTTCACATCCTAAATGTATTTGTTAAATGTAAACAATGTTTGTAAATCCCAGTCCCTGAAGATGATCTCAATAAAGATCGAAACGTTGGCACGATAAAGAAAATGTTTTTCTGAAACCTATCACACCAGAACGCATCTCACGATTTCTGAATAATTATCGATTAACGATCACTGATCACCACACTTTTCCAAAATGATTTTCTTTAAAAGAATTGAATTATGTGTGGAGCTACGAATGGGAAGACATTGCTCCTTGTGGTACTTTGGTTTCACCGCCATATCCATTCCTTGCTTTAGCCATGTTGGTTGTTAACTTTTCTTAAGAAGATATACAGGGTGTTCCCAACATTTTAAAACATACTGTAAATAATATAGTATATACCAAAATATAGGGTTAAAAAAACTTTAAAATCGCCTTAAATACCCAATCGTCCGAAGTATTCTTCTTCAGAAGCTAGCTGCCCTATTTGCACATTCAGGTACCGGTATTAAATCAACATCATTTCTTGCAAATATTTGCTGGTTGGACAGGGTTATGTATTTAGCCCTTTGTTATTCTTGCTCTTTATTAATGACCTAGATTTCCGAAATTATCCAAGCGTCCAGACGCCTTCTCTATGCTGACTGAGTGTCATACTGGCCGGCACTACATTCGCGTCAGAAGAACATCGACGCTTTATAACATTATTGGTCTCATTGTAAGTTATCAGTAATTTAACTAGATAAAATAATCGTAGATTTCAAGAAGCAGAGTTGCCCGTAGAAAGCTGTTGTTCTTTTTGGGCAGATTTTATTATCTCAAAAATAAATACTGTAATACCATTTTATCAACCACGGAATATATCTATCAGACAATTTTCTTATTTTGTTGCTAACATCATTGTTCGGATAAAAGGCACAGTATATTCAGAATTTACGCCTATTTCCAGTAGTTCTAAAATGTTTTGAATATAAACTTTTACAATATACAGCTTTCTTTCGGCAAATATCCCCTTTTTAACTTAATATTAAGCATTTTAATTTCAAAATAACCCTTTTTAATTCAAATTAACTTTTTTCTCTTTCAAATTAACCCTTTTTTAACTGCAAATTAACTTTTTACCTTCATACTAACACTTGTAAATTTCAAATTAACTCTTTTTAATATCAAATTAACACTTTCTTTAAAATGTTAAAAATTCGGAGAAAATGTTATAAAATGTAATCAGGTAAAGTAAAATTCCTTTATATTTGAAGAAGAAAAAATAATTCGGCTGTTAGAACACCACATACAAATTAAATACAATTAAAATAAAAAATTATGTACAATTAAATATAAAATAATTGGGTTCCGGTCTTCCTCACTGCAAATGCAACAAAAATGTTCGTTCGAACCACAGCCCGATTGTCCTTTCGCAAATATCCAATATTTTATGTTTTTTCAACTATGTTCGGGTTTCGTCATAAATGTACTCGTAGCCCATTAACTATTCATATTTGGAGACTCCTCAAAAAGCATTAAAAAGAGCACTCTCGGGCACTCTCAACGCGACACACAAGAATGACACATCTTCACAGAAAACAAATGCATAACAACTTCACCGTTTATTAAGCTTCATTATATCGAATCAATATGCAAAAAACATTATACTAAATGGGAAAAAAGTATTGGATAAAAAGTGGTAATAAAAAAGCTTAAAAAGAAAGAAAAAGAAACAAAAGACATAAATAAAAGACTAAAAAAATAACGAACACCGTCTCAGAAAAATTATGAATACATCTTCATCAAACACAGACAAAAAAAGTAACAATACGTAAGTTGTAAACCCCATCTTTAATCTAACAAAAAAAGTTTAAAAAATCAATGTAAAAATCAAATAAAACACATTTTTTGCGCTTTTATCATAATAAAGTTGATTTTTACAACTTCTGTATTGTTCTTTTTTCTTATGTCTCTGTTTAGCGCAGATATTTTGTCTCATAACCAAATTGAAATTTAAAAATATATCTCAAATTGAAATGTATACTTTATTTTCATTTGATACTATTTTTAATTTCAAATGTAAATTTAATTTGGCTTTTAAAAGTTCGATTGCTTTACTTTGCTTCAAATGCAAGGATTTTACTTTATTAATCAATTAATTAATTAATTTAATACGAAAGATGCTTAATTTCAAAATTAAAAGGTTTAATTGTATGGGAAAAGTTATATATCGTATAACAGTTAAAAACCAAGCTTTGTTACGATGTAAACAGTCTGTCAAGATCTTGTTAAAATTAATTTAAAAAAGCTGATTGAGAAATATGTTCAAATCCATTTAAAACATTGACAAAGAATTAATCAAAAAATAGTTACCTTGTTCATTCCAATATAATGTGAGCACTAAAGTGATTTTTTTAAGACTGCAAAGTTCAAAGAGTCAGATAATGCTAAAAATCCGTACCATAAATTAGCACCATTAGGTATTTTTAAACATTTATAATGTCAAACTGTAGGATAGACAAGTTAGGCAAAATTTCTCTCCGATATTGCTACGCCCTCGTTTTTTAAGCTCTGCCGGTGTGCAATGCTTCTTTTAAATAAGTATCGTCACACTGTAGAAAGAGATAGACTAATCAGTTTTAGTCTAGGCGATACGACAAAGCGAATATACCCTGAAAAATAATATACGTCTACTCGTGTCTATAACTTCAAAGATATGGACAAACCTGTACGAACACTTTAACAGATAACGGACAGCTACGGCCTAAATACAATTTTGTAACATTTTTATCAACGCTCGGTCGTAGGATACACGTACGATCGAAGAGGTCTGATGTCCGTACGTCGAACCAATATGAAAATCAATCTGTGGGATCCCATGAACATAAACATAATTTTTACGAAGTTTAGCCCCTCTGCCTATATCAATGACTGTTAAATAACTAATACTAAGAAATGTGTGGTGTTTAAATGACCGTTAGCCAATGATTATGTGGAGATCGTGAGATGCGGTCTGGTGTGACGTAGGTTTTACAAAAACATTTTCCTTTTCATGCCAAAGTTTCGATCTTTATATTGATAAAGTTTCGATATTGAGAATGCCCTGAAGATGAACTCAATAAAGATCGAAACAATTAATTAAGATTAATTAAGGTTTTTAGTTGAGATGAAAAAAAGTTAATGGAACGAGCGGGATTCGAACCCACGATCTTCGGCTAGATAAGCCGGGAAAATTCAAAAGGTGGGGTTGAGATAGGAAGTTGATGTCCGAGTGGATCGAGGTCACGATAGCTCAAGTGGTAGAGCAGCGGCGTATCTAGCTGAATATCGTGGGTTCGAATCCCGCTCGTTCCATTAACTTTTTTTCATCTCAACTAAAAACCTTAATTAATTGTAATGTATTAATTGGTCACGCGGACCACGAAATTAGTGAATTTAACAATTAATTACGGTTTTTAGTTGAGATGAAAAAAGTCAATGGCACGAGCGAGATTCGAACCCACGATCTTCGGCTAGATACGCCGCTGCTCTACCACTTGAGCTATCGTGACCTCGATCCACTCGGACACCAACTTCCCATCTCAACCCCACCTTTTGAGTTTTCCCTCCTTTTTGCCATTTTTCAAATGTGTAATCGGATTGGATTCTCGACGACAAATGAAATGGCCACGGAGAGCTTTAGTGAAGTATACTTCATTTTAAATCACGACATTTGAAAAATGGCAAAAAGGAGGGAAAATTCAAAAGGTGCGGTTGTGATGAGAAGTTAGTGTCCGAGTGGATCGAGGTCACGATAGCTGCAGTGATAGAGCAGCGGCGTATCTAGCCGAAGATCGTGGGTTCGAATCCCGCTCGTGCCATTGACTTTTTATCTCAACCAAAAAACCTTAATTAATTGTAATATATTAATTGGTCAAGCGGACCACGAAATTAGTGAATTTAAAGATCGAAACTTTGGCACGATAAAGAAAATGTTTTTCTAAAAACTACATCACACCAGAGCATCTCTCGATCTCCAAATAATAATACTAAGAAATATAATTATATATAAATTTATAATACAATTATATAAATTTAGCACCTAATTAATAACATAAGTTTGCTGCTAATGTAAGCTATTTCAATATTTACCTACCATGTTGCATGTCAACAATAGCGGCGAGCATGAAATGTTCTCACGTTGTTTGATTTGACCCGTTTTTCTTCATCTTCGGTTTGAGTTCAGCCGTGATGAATTAAAAACCATCGAGATGGTTCATCAGAGCGTTAGAGGTAAAATCATATCTTAAGTTTTATTTCAATTTTTGCACTGTCCTGAAACGAGTCAAACTTTTCATATTATTACTCTAGTCATTTCGAGCCGTGATTAACCTACCGGGCCAATTAAGAGGCATCGATTCAAAATATCTGCCCATTAATCAGTGTGATTTTTTGCCAGTTCGAAGCAGCATTCCGTCCACGGACACTTTTGGCATTCGTTCCCAATTAATTGCAATAACTTTTATATTTTGTATTATTTAACGGCAATTTATAAAAATTATTTTCCACCCGAGTGCCAGTGTCCATCGAGTCCATCCGGTATAAAACTCTAAAGGTTTTGAACAATTATTTTCGAACGCCATTAGCGTATTGCAGCGCACGCCCTGACTGCTAATGAAGAGGAAAGCGCGTGGGATTATTTCGACTTGTAAACAACTTTATGTATGTCACCCTCTTGAATAAAGATTTAAATATCGCCCATTAACAATTTCGCACAAGGTGAAAACAAAATGACGGAGTACTTCGTGAACTTGTGCCAAAACAACCTTTAAAACATGCCGGTTAACAAAAACTATAATTTTCTGATAAAAATTGGAATAATATACATTCAAAGACAAAAGAAAACGGACACTAGTATTTTTTGTTTATTTCCAACTAAATGTACTTTGTTTGGTATATTAATTAACATAATTTTTTATGTAAACCAAGTGAAACGTTATCATAAGTTATAACAACAATTATGTCACTATTATAGCTCGAAAGAAACTTCACTAAACTTGAAAATCATTTAGTAAAAGATTAAAATTTAGCTAACAATTTATTATCTGGTTTTGCTCTTAATAGTGCTTATTACCTCTCTAGCCGGAGGATCTGCAAGACCATAAATAGGCCCCGAAACTATTCTTGGGATAACAAAAACAAATATAGAATCCTTCAGCGCAGAATGGATCCAAACAAAACAAAAGGAGAAGTGGATAAACTCTAGCGGTGCTAGACAGTAAACTTATGATGAAACAACCCTCACCAAAACGTGCAAAAGCACTGCTGGAATTGGAGAGGGCCAAACTCAGAGGAGTGGTAGTACTATTAACCGGTCACTGGCATCTGAAAAAAGATCTACACAATATGGGTATATGCAGAGATGATCCCATTTGCAGATTATACAATGAGGAGGAGGAAACAACCGCTCATATCATCTTCAAATGCGAAGGAACAGCTCAGTGGAGATTTAAGCTAAAGTACGGAAAAAACTTAGGGAATCAAATTGCAGCAGCGACAGGCAATACTTCTAAGGAGAAGGATGAGAAGCATTGAGTCTATTGCTCCGAACTAAGGAACTAGGAAGGTACAATAACCCAGAAGGCTGCCTAGTATCCTTTTTCACTATACTATGCCATACCACACTTCTCTAGCCGCGCGGAGGGTTTTCTTGGATCAAGTAAATAAGTGACCAAATTTAGACTTATGAAACAAAATCCCATTCTTCAGCAATAGCACATTGAAGCTGCTCAACACTTGCTCGAGGCAGTGAACGATAAGGTTTCTGTGAGAGTCATGTTAGAAAAACCTGCTGGCCAATTCATTGTGTTATCCCTCAATCTCCAAGTAATGGGTGACAACTCTAGCGACATACGGTAATTGAGCGAATGGGTTTCTTCTTCTTCCGTAAGAAACTTCTTAATGTACTTTATTGCAATTAAAGATCCGTACTGTACGATAATATCTATTTAATGATTCTAAAAATTCATCATCAAAATTGGTTGAAAATCTTGGCCATTATTGTGTGTTGTAGAATACTTACGGAAAATAAAATTAAGGGAAGGATATTAGAATTTTTCTGACAGTCAGGCTAGTCTTAGGTCATTACAAAAAGACTTGTCAACCTCAAGACTGGTGGAGGGAACCTAGATCTTATCAATAGAATCTCTTCCAGGTTTGAGAACCTGGTAACCCTTATTTGAATACCAGCACGTAAAGGACACTATGGCAATGAAGAAGCGGATAGCCTGGCCAAACAAGGCTCTAATACTGCGTTTGTCGGGCCACAATCGGTATTGCCTCATTCTATGAACACAGCGAAGGAGAGTATTAATAACTGGGGCATGAAACAATTCCTCAAGAAGTGGAATTTAACCCCCCCCCCGACACAGGCAATCGAAGGAGTTTGTTAAGGTGATCAAACAAGCAGAATCGAAATGGCTATTCTCTATCTCAAGGAAGGAAATTAGGCGGCTGATAGGTATTCTAACGGGACACTGCTCACTAAGAAGACACCTCTCTGTAATGGTATTCTACCAGATCCTTTTTGCCGTTTTTGCGAAATAAAAGAAGAAGAAACGGCAAGGCAATACCTCACAGAGTGTGATGCTAGGTATGCTAGGTCCAGATTTGAAGTCTGAAAGAAAGGACATTACCAAATCACTCCCCGAGATAAAATGGTCCAAATTCTTGGGGTTTGTGAACAAGTCCAAGAGATTCATGCAGGACACGTGAGCCGACCAAGTCTCGGACCTTTTAGGGATGGGGTACGAGTCTACCCAGGCATTTAACCCCTCGGATCTTGGTCGCCCACCCTGCATTATATATATATATATATATATATATATATATATGTTTTTTTCTTGATAGAGTAAGTTTTACCTTTATACTCTAATTTCAGAAAGTGCAGACAATCGATACGTGGCTACCTATGTTATACAGAATATAATCGATGTATATACATTTTATATATAATGCTACCGTTTTCCCTTTTTGCATATTCGATATCCTGAACAATCCGAAAAACTAAGTTTTTTAGTTGAGATGAAAAAAAGTTAATGGCACGAGAAGGATTCGAACCCACGACCTTCGGCTTGATACGCCGCTGCTCTACCACCTGACCTATCGTGACCTCGATCCACTCGGACATCAACTCCCCATCTCAACCCCACCTTATGAGTTTGAGATGGGGAGTTGATGTCCGAGTGGATCGAGGTCACGATAGCTCAGGTGGTAGAGCAGCGGCGTATCAAGTCGAAGGTTGTGGGTTCGAATCCCTCTCGTGCCATTAACTTTTTTTCATCTCAACTAAAAACCTTAATTAATTGTAATGTTTAATTGGTCAAGCGGACCACGAAATTAGTGAATTTAAAGAATTGAATCCGAAAAACGTTTTAGCCAAGAGATAGCCACAAAAGCAGAAACACAGCCCTAAAGCCAAAAGGAGTCTGGAGGATACGAAGGAATTGAATCCTTCAAATTTGTATAATATTTGGTAAATACTTTTAGCTATTAATAAAAAAATTAAATTAGTTACAAATTGGTTTTATTTTTT